TTTTATGCATTTTTAAAAATTTTTTACATTTCATCCACGTTTTGAAAACCTATTTGCTATACAAATTTATAACTCTTGGGACAGTCATGTTCATTATATACTGTATATGCAGGCTATGGTTTGGGGTATGAAGTTTTGCAATATCTTAATCCTAACAATGCAGATTGTGGGGCATTTTTATACAGCAAACCAAACATTCATATGTAATATGTATTATAATTTAAAACACATGCACCAGAAAAAGTAGCCTGCAGGGAACATTCATTGAATATCCCATTCACAGCTTTATAAATATTCCCTATAGGTCTACCTGACCACTAAAAACAAAGCTCTACCTGTGTGGCTGATACCCTATATCAATAGCTGTAAGGGAGAAAAATGGAGTGGTGGCAACAAGACGCTGATGGCTTCCTCATGTGGCTAATCTAGCTATCTTGATACTTTAAATAAAAATAGGGAAGCAAATGTACTGTAAATGTAAAAGCATGGGCACTGGCACCCCAATAGCTGATAAAGTACGTCTCTTAGATACGTGCTGCATAGCAAATACACTTAATACAATGTTTCGAGGTTGCAAAGGATCCTCTTCATCAGGCAGAAACAAGTGACTTGTTTCTGCCTGATGAAGGGGATCCTTTGCGACCCCCGAAACGTTGCAATAAGTGCATTTGCTATGTAGTACGTACGTTAATAAATAGACTTACCTAATCAGCTAGTGGAGTGCCAGTGTCCATGCTTCTGTTCATATGACGAGGCGGTTGCTATCCACGACAACCGCAGCAACCATCTTATCACATTGGAATAGCAGCATCTGAGTGCGGTGGGTATATGGACTATATCGGGGGAAAAAAACACTGGACGCATGTAGCCAATGCGGGGGAAAAGCCTGGTACGTGTGAATTTTTCAACATTGTGACAGTCAGGTTGTCATCCACCACACTAGATTCTCATGTTTAAGATAGCAGTGAATGTTACAGTGTCAGTAATTGATGCATTTCTAAATCTGTCTACCATTCACAATTATAAGAGTCACTCTGTCTTCTGCTGGGACATATTATATAATCTTACAATTCAGAATCTAACGCAATAAATTGATCTAAAGCACAAAAATACGACCATAACATCCTCTTCAAAGTCCTAAACTAAAGAAAAACCAAACATGAGACATGTGTATCCAATCAGCTAAGCTAAAGATAAATGATCAAAGAATACCCATGGTAATATAAATAGAGGTCAGATGGATTTTAAACACATTTGTTTCTTGGAAAGCACTTTTGTCAGGTCCCATGATTAGAAAGGTTTTTCTTCATGAAACGGATAAATGTACCACATTGCAACATTCTTAGTGGTTGAGCATTCCAAGGACAGATGTTTAAACTCTCCTTTATTACGGTTCAGTCTGATAATAGAATTCATTACTTGCTTAAAGTGTATCTAAAGCCATTTTGTTTTTGATAGCATAGAGACAGGTTAGAACCTCTGTCAGAATTTCAATGTCATGTGCTAAATTATATTTAGCTTTCCCTGGAGTACCTCTTAAAGATAACTACAAAATCTTGTGAATCCATCTTATAAGCCCCTGCCATCTTTAAAGAGGAACTCCGGGGGAAATGTTTTTAAAACCCTTGCAGTTGAGGGGTAGCCCCACTGCAAGGGTTATTACAAATTTTACCTGTAGTTCTTAAAGATTAAACTGCTACAGTAAGATGTATTATACATATCAACAAGTCCAGTGTCCTTTCAGCTGCAGCATTTGGGTGTGTGCCAGCCAATCAAGATGCTCATCACAGATCCAGCACCTTGACATGGAGCACATGCTCCCCTGCCATGGCAGTGTTTGGGTACTAGCAGAAGAGACACCATGGAGGTGTATAGAATTATTATAAAGGTTTTAAAAGCAGTAGTTGTGTCCTATAGATTGTAGGTCTACATTAACATATAAAGCTCCAAGACTACTGGAGCAGGCCACAGACACTAGCAGTGGTAGATCACAATAATGGCCACCTGAGATAAACATGTATGGGGGTCAGTCTCTAAATTTCTGCAGTTAATGATGACATTTCACATAGACACAACATTACAACGTTTCTTTGACTCCTATAACGCAACAAGCAATATTTCTATATTCTCAACTCTGTTCATCTGGAAATATTAGGTCCATGTACAAGCATAAATGGATAATGAATACTTATTTAAAAGCTGATTATTTTGCTGTCCCGATTAAGATGAAGTTACACAGAGAGGTTCATGCAGGTGCAGTGACCCTTCAGAGGGCTGTGGGGCAAGGTTACACCCATGGCTCTCTCTCCCTTTATATTAATTTTACTTTGGGAGAAAATGCGAGAAACCATTTAAAACAATTCTAATGCTAAAAGCATAAAGGGAAAAGTATTCCATTGAAGCACTCAACAGGGTGTAGGCAGGCAGTGTGTTCATCCTGTCCCATCATGTTTAACAGTCAGCCCGGCTTCGTTCGCACACGGCGAGGCAACAGCTGATCTTATCTCGGTTCATTCAGTGCTGGGCTCACAATCAAGGTGTGGCATGGGAAAAGCTGTGTTTTGCCAACACAGAATGTGAAAAGACAAAGTCAAAGGATGACCTGGTTCACAGAGAATATTTCCTTTGTTATAACTTGTTTGATGGGAGAAATAGCTGCTTTAATAACAGGCTGAAGCAACTGGGGATGACCTAATTCCTCACAGTGGATTTAAGAGCACCTGCTGCTTCCAGTGCACGGCCTACACCCATGAGGAAGCCTTGTGTGTGCTGTGTACTCATGTAGGTGTACAGGAGAGGGCAGGTAAGGGAACAAAGTTTAAATATCCTATCACATTTTCATTGTAACAAATGGCCAGCGTTAGGTGGGTTACAGTTAGAAATGAGCCTCGGCTTGGTGCGTACCCAGTCCATCTGAGCTCAAGCCAGCTCAAAATTGTGACCACCATTTCCACCCTCCCGGCCCAATCAGTGGCAGCAGGGCCATTTTCCTTCCCTTTGTGACTTATAGTTGCAGGGAATGTGCCTCGCTGCAACTGATTGGGCCAGGAGAAGAGGGGGGGGGGGCAAAATTTTGAGCAGACTTCCTTGCAAAGCAGAAAATTATGGGAAGTGAGGAAAAAACACCTTAAGTCAAAAAATTAGCAATAACAGCCCTACAGAAGCTTTAAATAGTTACTGTTCTATCCAAAACAAATTGAATTTGGGCTAAAGCTGGGCTTTAATGTAGACAGCTTTACAAGCTCTGATCCACAAAGTTGAGGAAGACTTCTATTTGTGATAATCAGGAGCAAACTATCAAGATTTTGCTAATCAATGACTTCGCTAAGACTCAAACTGTCTTAAGTTCCAGATGAGGTTTGTATAGCAAACACTATGGCTGCCTAATGGGAAACATGTTGGTAGCATAACCTCTGATATTCAGACTGTGCAGAGATTAACAAGGAAACACGTACAAAACACATCTTGTAATATAACTGGGCCATCATCATGTTGGTAAATGAATTAGGATCATTCTATTTTTCCCTTTATGTTCATTATCATTCTCGCAGTAATAAGTGCAGTATAAACACAATACAGGTTTAACAACATTGGAGTCGGTACACGTTCCTGCTCAGAGTTAAGTAGTTTATGAATTGCTCTACCTGTCTCTCCCCAAAGTGTGTCATTCTCATTGATGTCTAATGGGAAATCTTTCTCGTGATTCAAAAGACATCTCACCACCTGGAAAAGAGGAAAGAAGAGTCAAACAAAAGAATGTCTATGGACAATCTGTATCCTAATTTAACTTACCAAATGATATGTCACTTGTCATTTCAGGAGAATTCCCTTTACTTTCTATCCAAGTGAACACACAGCGAGAGGGAATCTCTCTAAAGCTGGTCATACACTGTTGGAATTTTGTCTAATTCATAGGAATTGGCCAAAATGTTACCTATGTGTCCCTGACGGCTGGACAAAAGTCACTTGCTCAAAAGATTTTTGTTGAAGGAGCCGGACCAAAAGTTGTCCCCTAAATAGTGCAGTCACTTTTTTCCGATATCCTGACAGAGGCACACTTGTTGCTATCAATACAATAGTCCCACAGGAGAGATCCCCCTATCCACATTGTTTAGGGTGGATGGGGGAATCTAACAGTAGTTGTATGACCAGCTTAATTGGGCCACAAACATCAGTAAAGACATTTCGGGGGGTTTAGAGGCCTATTCACCCCTGTCTGCTTTGATATGCAACATGAACATGCATAGAGTTAAGGTCACATTATTGTAAATAGAGGGAAAAAATAACAATTGGAAATATAGATGGGGACAAAAATCTGCTTGTATGTACATCTTGTAATTATAGATGTACATGGGGACAGCCATTTTTCCCTATTACATATGCAAACTTTGGTTCCTGCCTGTGCAGTGCTCATCTCACTGCAAGTCTACCAGCCAGAGACCATATGATCCTGAATGTTTAGGGTACCTTTCCTAAGGTTGGTATATGTCCTACTGATTGATGTGAAGAGTGAAATTTAACAAGAGATCAAATTTTATGGTTGTATGAGTAGGTGAAGAAAGCCTCAGAGATCTAACAGGCAATGTTAAATCACCATTCCCCCTACTCCATCTGCTCAATTCACAGCTGTATAGTTACAAGTAATGTTATGGGAATTATGCATAGCTACATGTAATCACAATTATGTTCACTTTCAAAGCATGAAAACATGACGGCCAAGGAAAGGTCGACACTCTGGACAGGAACAGCTGCAACTAGTCACAATTAATGTGGGAAAAATGCCATTTCATAAAATGTTTTAGGTAGTTAAAATGTTCCTGAGATTACATTGTTTCACACAAGCGTGGAATCACATTACAAACTCAGTGTATCAAAGAAACTTAAAGAGAAGTAACACAAATGACTGCAGGTACGAAGTGCAACTCCCCCAGGCATAAGTGCGCATCTGTACCTGAGTTCCGAACCCCGCCTACTTCCTATGGCTATTACAATCCAATCTTTTGATTCATAATTAATTTTTATTTAGTTTACATTACAGAGCATGCTGAAGCTGTGAGACTTCTTTGCTGGGTAAATACTGGATGTGTGATTAGAAGTGCCTCTTAACAAATAGTCATCACGCTTAAAGGATTGTCTTGGTTGTTTATTTGAATGGATATAGCCAACATGTTTTGGGGGAATTAGACTGCATCTTCTTCAGGGCTTGAGCGACAATAATAAGTAGTGAATGTAGGAAAAGCTGTACTTTGTAGCCTGAATTAGGGCTGAATGAGCGGTGAGTGTCAGTGTACCCTGCTTGCAGTGAGGGCTAGATCTGTCCCAGAAGAAGGGGAGTCTAATTCCCCCTAAATGTGTTGGCTGCATTTGACATATCCATTCAAATAAACAACTTAGCTGAACCTTAAAGCAGGATGACCTTTTTTAAGAGTCGCTCTTAACCACAAATCCAGGATATGACCTTCTGTTGAGTGATCTCCCCATTGTGACCAGATAAGCAGCACCCTTGGACTATAACCAGCTCCATACACACACTGTCAATACAGGTTACTTCCCCCAAGGAGTATATCAACATTTATTCAGATTCACATCAAAACCAATCCCTACTCCAACTGGTCCAACACTACCACAGATCTATAAGTTCTTAGCAGGGTAAGGCAGTGTTCACTCATTGCTGAAATATCAGTACTTAGTGAAGTAACCCTTGACATAATAAAGTAATTTCCTTTGAGTAGACTTTCACAATCCGCAACACCCAAAATTATTTTTCTCTAGGATCCTAGATCTACTTTACTACTACTCTTGGGCAGGACAGGTGTCACTTGGCTTTATAGAAAGCATTACTACCATTGCTGGACATACTCCTAAAAACAGACCAGATAGAGAACTAGCAACTGAACCCTGTGACGGTCTGTGCAAAGACAAATTATGCACAGCCAAGACTGCTAGAAGAGAATTTCATTGGCCATTCATCTACGCAAAGAGGAAATGAGAAAAATTATAAAATTAAAAGGAAAAAACAACCTGTCCTGCAATCTACATATTCTACAGAAATTGAAATTCTTCTCCACGGTTGTCTTTGATATATTTGATATGTTTGGAGCTCCGATTATACCATCTTCTTTCAATGTGTTCTTTCATTAAAGTCACCCATCTCTGTCTCTCTCTTCCTTTCTCTAAATAGATCTGAAAGTGTTTTTTTAATCTGACCTAAAGCTTGCACAATCCACCAAGATCTTCAAAACATGAGGCAGGCGTGTCTCTATGAAGCCTATAATACAGTGTAGATGAGAGAATTGTAACAGTCATATTGTTATAATTAAAGGCCCTATAATTTCAGCAAGACCGCAGGACACAGTGTACATGGATTATAGAGATGTCAGGCTGTAGAACACAAACTTATAAAGATCTGAATAGAGAAAAAGCTACTCCGTATAAAGATGAAGAGCAAAATGCTGTAACTCCTGGGAACCAATCAGCAACCATCTTTCACAGCTGCTTTACCAATGAGAGATGACTTTGCTACAGGTTAAGTGAGCCATAAATGTACAGATTATCTCCCTGAGAACAAAGGGTGGGAAAACATTTGCCTGTTGACTGTAATGCTGGGAGCCACTGTAGAATTTGTCTATTGGACTGAAAAAATGCATGCACGGTTAAAGGGTAACTAAACCCAAGAATGAAAACATAATTTTAACTTGGTGGCTGCATAGGTTTTTTGTTTTTTTTAGGCCAAGAACATTTTTTTCAAATATAGAAAATATCCGCTGATCTTGCCCGAAATTCTGTGCCATTGTCACTTCCTGTAAGCAAACTGGAGGCACAAACAATGCTATCTTTCTTTTGTAAACTTCTAATCCCCCCATCCCCCATGAAGTGGAGAGTAACAAAGGCAGACATGTGGTCAACTCTGGGTGGCAACCATGGCCTTCCCCACAGATACAGTGGAGTGAATAAGTGTTACTGGAAGGATCACCAGATGAAAAAGGCAAAAACTAATGCAGTCATCCCATTAAGGACTGGTTAGCTGCAATGCATTACATTTTTGGTTTTGCTGGGTTTAGATACGCTTCAACAGCTTCCTTTTCATTTCTAAGAACATAATAGAACTGCTTGTTAAATGTTCAAGACACCTACCATTCTGATACATGGGAGCAGTCATTATCACCCACTTGGGTAGCCTTAACCAGCTGATTCTTTCCTGGGAGACTTTCCATTTACACAACCCATACCAAAAAAAAATAGCTCCTTTACACCTCTCTAGTAAACACTGGCACCTGGGACCATCTGTTTTATAGAGAAGGGTGACTAGGTTCCTTTTTTAGGAACTTGTCTCACTCCGAGCAATATTCCTTGTTCAGCAACTGCCTATGTAATTTGGGCAATTTGGGTAATTTTTGTACATTGCTCCTCTTTGCATTGCTCTAAAGTTAACCTGTCAGCCATTAAAAAAAAAAAAAGTTTACCTAAAAATTCTGTCTAGCAAACGTACTGCAAGTTGCCTCCTTCAACCTTTATTTGCCAGAAAGCCCTGTGTGGCTCTTTGGTTTCAGATTGTTTGTAGGGGTATGACTTATATAATTTCTGGCCTTAGGCTTGCCCAACTGTCGTCGCTGCCCAGTGAGAGAATTTAATTGGCTATTTAGGACAAGGTGCAAGCAGCTAAGCAGGGCTTAGCTGATCCCTATAGGAACCTATAGCCATACACATATCTAGTATAGAACGCTAGTAGCTGTGAAAAAATCAGTCTGTGACTGGACACTAAACTTTTATATACATTTACTATCAATATATGACAGAATGGACACGGTAGTTCACCTAATTAATACAATTCTGCATATGTTCTGTACTTGTGGGGGATGATCTCCCATTCTAATGCCTTCAATGTGGCTGCAGACTGCACACCTGGGAGTCTGGGGAACACATATCTGGCTAGTAAGACTTTTTTTTTTTAACCACCGTGTCCTAATGATTTTGCTAAGCTTGTTTAGCTGTTAAAGCCGAGATTAAGTTGGAACTTTGGGAGCATTGTATTCCATTTTACTGCATCACACAGCATATCAAATGATACGACAGCCAGTTCTGAGAATCCAACTGCCAGCTTCATAAAAGTCACGTCTCATATTTCCAGCTCCATTGTGAAACACGACCTATTGGTTAATGGCTGTCCAGAGCAGTGTGAAAGAAAAAGCCGTTTAATGATTGTAGTGTATTAACTGCATTTAGCCTCCTGCGTGTGCTCTGGGCAACAAAAGTGAGGGGAATATGAGTACCAATCCATTAAAGTGACCCTGCCACCACAGGGCCACTTTTACCCAAATGGTCACCCGTAAAAGAAGCATAGATATAGTTACCTTTCTGGTGGCCTGTGTATTGAAAAGGTAACGCTTCTCTGCTGCTGCCAATTTTGCATACTTGCTCTCACTGCTGACCAATATGGTACTTCCCTCCGAATCATACATCTTGTAGTGATGTACAAGCCGGCAGTAAGAACCCCAGCTGTTGACAGAGGAGCACGTATTCTACACACTTGAAAATTTAGAATACTTGCAGTAGCTGGGGAGCAAGAAAGGTGGCAGATTTTTAATACACTGGCCGCCAAAAAGGTAAGTATATCCACACTTTTTTTTGTTGGAGGTGACCATTGGGGTCAGAAGTGACGGTAGGGCTCATTTATAAAAAATTAGGACAGAGAAACGTCTTTGTTGCTCTGGGATGAACAAAATGCACAATGGCTAATTTAAGAAACCTTAACTGAGATAAATATGGACGCTGCAGCTGTTGACCTCTCTATGCATATGATAATTGCCTGGCTGTCTCTGACTTTAATATCTTGAGCAATTGACAAAGAACAAGAATGCAACCAGCGAAGTCAGATCTGAATGTGTGTTTTGGTACATTGGCTCAAAGTATTGAAGTTAGTGGATCAGCATGACAGTCAGGTAACTGGCATTATACACAAAGAGGGCCAGCAATGGCAGCCACCAAATTTCTATTTGTACAGGTTTCCATTAAAATGGTAGCCGACTCCTCCTTTGTTCTTTTGAATCAATACAAAATGGAACCCAATTAGTTAGAGTGGCAAAAGCATCTGACCGGCTGTTGTGAGAAGTTATTCTACTTTACTATCCTTGAATGCATTGAAGACTTGCCTAAGATTATATTTACACTGCATTCTCTCCACTACGTTTTTCTGGTGAAATCCACATCAAGAATTGAGAATGGACTAAGCAGGCGGTGATTTGTTTCATACCTCTGTGTGTCCCATACTGGCTGCTGCGGTCAGAGACTGTTGAAGAGCATGGCTTCGCCTTACATAGTTTGGTTGTTGGATGGAAGATGTCCAGTCACAATTCAGTAAAAACTTGAGGATACTGCAGTGTCCTCTCAGAGCACTGTGTACCAAGGCACTCTGTCCTTTCTTGTCTACGTGATCTACCTGCAAAAGACAAATCAAATAACATCATTTAATAAAATTATGTCAAAACAGTTGCTAACCTTCATTATGTTTATCATTTTTAGGTTGAGGCTCTACAAATAGCATACACCACTCGCATAAGGTCCCATTCACAATATTACATTGCAGTAAACCACGGTTTACAGCAACAAGCAGCAATGCGGTGCAGCCAACTCTGTGCATGTGCCATTTTGGTGCAGTTTGGCACATTGGCCATTCATTTTGAATGGGCTGCCTTAAAGCAATGCATGTTGACTGCATATCATGAGTTAAAGCACCTCAATGGTGTGAATAGGCCCTAAGAAATAAGAAGGCAAATGCACAAATTGTGTGCATTGGCTAAAAATAGTCTTAATTGTGAAGTGGGAATTTTGATTCACCTGAATTTTTAGATTGTAAGCTCTCACGGCCAGGGCCCTCCTAACCATCTTGTCTTAAATTGTATTGCAACTATAATGTCCTCCTTATATTGTAAAATGCTGTCCAAACAGTTGGAGCTATATAAATCTTTTATACTAATATTAATAATCTGTGTATGTAGAATTATCCAATATATGACACTGCATGGATCAAGGCAATCATGCATACATGGCGAGGCGGCTACAATCTGTGTATGTAGAATTATCTAATATATGACACTGCATGGATCAAGGCAATCATGCATACATACATGGCGAGGCGACTATTAATAATCTGTGTATGTAGAATTATCTAATATATGACACTGCATGAATCAAGGCAATCATGCACACATGGCGAGGCGGCTATTAATAATCTGTGTATTTAGAATTATCTAATATATGACACTGCATGAATCAAGGCAATCATGCATACATGGCGAGGCGGCTATTAATAATCTGTGTATGTAGAATTATCTAATATATGACACTGCATGAATCAAGGCAATCATGCATACATACATGGCGAGGCGGCTAGCACATATTTATGCTAAACAACAATTGGAGATTCACAGAAAACACCAATACATTTGCTCATCTTTATTCTACACCTACGGTGGAATAAATGTGATGACAATAATTAGCATTTATTTTCTGCTGAAAAACACACCAGATACTTTGCTGTTTAATATATAACCTAGGAATTTCCAATGTATAGATAATAATGCCTGCAAAAGCAAGATTTCTCCCAGTCTACATTTTGGTCAGTTCTTGACAGGTACACTTTACATGCCATCACTTGACCTTCCATTAATCTCTATAAAAATGCCAATGAGAATTCTTTGTTTCTCTTCCTTAACACACTTTTGTCAGTGCCTGTACAATGAACCAATCATGCTGACCACAGCAATCAATCAGAATCTTCAATTCACAGTTCAATACACATTCAATCCATGTGAAATCTGGTAGGTTCTTTCTAGCAACAAAAATGATTCTGCTATCAGTTATTCTGGCGAATCAGGGCAAGAGAACACAACTCAAGGACCATGCAGAGTCCCGCTGATATTCCCATCTGCCGGAATAACTGAAGCCGAGCAACATCAGCACAGGAAGTGTATCCTCTGTGAGCTTCATTAGATGAGGAAGCCACAACATCTGCTGGATATTAGGGAGGAAGGAGGCACATTCTGACAAATTCCTATTAATGATCCGGTAACACAGTAACCCACATCAACTTACGGGCCACATACAGAGCAAATTCCACACACATGGGAGAACACTTTACACATTTTAATTGTAGCAGATCTGCCATTATAAAACATACGAGTGAGAGAGCGCAGTTCAATCAGAGGGTGGAGACTGCCAATGTGCATATAATTACTGCAGGCAAAATGCAATTAGAGCAATAGTAACTCCTGCATTGCACAATTACCACACTTGGCTGAAGTTCTCGGGTGTGTCATAGTATGTATTATATATAGAATAATAGCGTTACTAAATATGATTGACTGATTGGAACAAACCAGATTATCCCTAAATTAACTGGCAGATTGTATTTGTTCTCCTTAAAGGAGAACTCAGGGTAAAGAAAGGGGACAAAAAATCCCGCACTACAAGAGTTAAGTGCTCATTTTGTCTAGGGGGCTCAAATTAAGCTGTATTGTCCATCTGACCCTCTGTCCCCGGTGCAGTTAGCGCTCACCTCTCCCTCCCAAGCCACCTGCATAAGACATGATGATCATGTCAGGTCTGACATGATAGATCAGTTCCTGCAGAGGGCTTATGCAAGTGGAGTGGGAGGGAGAGGTAAGCACTTTCTGCACTGGGACAGAGGATCAGTTGAGTAATACAGCTTTATTTTAGGCCCCGAGAGCAAATGAGCACTTAACCCTTGCAGTGCAAGGTTAGCCCCCCTGCAAGGGTATTGTATTTTTTAAAGGCAATGTGTAAGTACCTGAATTTGAGCTAGTATCAGCATCAATTCCACGTATAGCAGTGCTCATACTGAGAGAGCACAGTGTCAGGAAGATAAGCACATCACTGTGCTGCTTCTTCTTTCATTGTCCAGTCATAGGATGGAGAAGTAAAATGACATGTAAGTGTTTTCCCTGCCCTACCAGACAGTGTTGTGTTGCAGGAGCTGTGTAAATCTGAGAAATAGATGGGCAGTAATACAAACCATTTGGCATGAAAATAACTTTAATTTATGTATTTCATTTGTATGTTCAGCTAATTGGTTGTTTGAACGGAGTTCACCTTTAATATGGTCTGTCTGGACACTCATCACAGGAAACCTGCCAGCTACCTCCTCCTCAGTAAGTCTGGGGGAGGAAGAAGGCAGCTTCTCCCAGCCCAGTCTCCCACTGTTAGGCACCTGTACAGACGCTTATCAGAGGGAGTCAGCCTGATGTGCAGATCTGCACCTGGTCAGACCATGCGTAGGTGTGTGACCAATACATTGTAGCATATATATTCGTTTACAAGACACGGAAACGGTGACATCCCTGAGACAAATCGCAATTTGTGATAGTCCAGGTTCTGGCACACCTCGCAAATCATTTTCAACATAGGAGCACTACGTTGATAACTTTGTACATGTCACATCACATGCATACCAAGAATAAGAAATGTCAGAACAACAACAGTTTATTGGGTCCATTATATTTACCTTTGCTCCTTTTTTGCACAGAAGGGTTACAATATTTAGGTGTCCAGAAGCAGCTGCGTAGCACAACGGGGTCATTCCACTTTCAGACATCCCATCCACGATGGCACCAGATTCCAGCAGCAGGCTGACCATCTCCTCATGACCGAGGTGTGCCTGGACACACTGGATCGGAGCGTTATTTAAAACCTCGGTCCTGTAGTTGATGTTTGCCCCTGATAATATCAGAAGTCGGCTCACCTGCAAAAAGAATCAAGAAGTATATTAGGTTTTTCACTGGATCCAGGAATGCTACAGGCAGCTGCAGCAAATTAATTTTGCTTGGCTAGAGCCAAAACCACAGAAGACATTTGTGTATGCACTTACACCAGGCTCTGTGATATTCCCTGAAACACAATAAGCTAGATTTAACCTGCTTTCTTGACGCAGGGCATGGGAATACATTGTGGTCTATTAAGGAGGACTGACAGATGAAAAATGCATAATAGGTGTAAGATAATATAAGTGCATAAAAAGTTGCTTGAGACCGTAAAGGAACATAAAACTCCCATGACACAATATAGTGGAAAGCTGGCACTCTGAAACATGTTTTTTGAATGGAAAAACTATTCCAGAACTCCATTATCAAAGACTTGCTGACAATGGCAGACCAGTGGTGGGTTATTGACCTGTCACACTGAAGCCAGCTGATTCCTATCGATCATACAAGGTCTGTTATGTAATATGGATGGACCTATTTCTATCCATCCATCCAATTTCTGCACAGTGGAAGCAATCATTTTGTAGGCTAAACTAACATTCATGGTCTGAAGCCACGCAAGTCTCATCATTCAGACTGTAGGCACAAAGGGTCTAATGATATGAATCGCCTTCTTATGTTCTCCACCATTTGAAACTGCCTTTTATGTTTAATTTGTGTACAATTTCAGAAATCTGCGAAATCTACTGTCTCAGTAGCACTATAGGGAGATGTCACCTCCCTCACCTCTTCCTAGGCACAAATGTCATCTATCTGGGTGCAGGCGGAACTAGCAAAAGGGTTGAAAATGTAACAAAACAGAGGGCGAGACCCTGACTCTAGCTGGGTTTACTGGTAACTTCTATATGGCATCGTTTTTTCTAGTGTCCCTCCCCACAGGTTGGGATATCTTTGAGTTTTTGAACTTCAGCAGGTGACCTTATAATCCAACCTTACAGTGTCAATGCACAAATTATAAAGCCCTTTACTTGCACTCAGTACATGGTTTTTGAGGTTAAAGTAAGCTAAGGGAACATGTGCTAAGAATAACAACCAATAAGCCTTTACCCATCGCCTTCTAGTCTATCGAATTAGTTGTAACAAAGATCTGCGCTCTTGGAAGACTGCTAAAATTATTTAAAATGAATGGCCCTGAAGCTGCTATGAGAAAAAGAAAACGGTAATTGGGAAGTGTTAACAATAAACTAAATACCAATATTAAATAAAATTAATATTACAGCTCAATCCCATAAAGTGAATCATAAAAGTGAAGCATATAACAATTAGGTGAAGACCATACCATTCATAGTGAAACAATGATTCAATAGTGTTTAAAAAAAACACCGAAGAGTCTTCAAGGGAGACCTATTCAGTGTTATTCAACATTTAAGGCATGAGATACAATGTGACAAAATATTAGCTACTTATGTAAATGTGGCAAATTATCTGTGAATGACAAGAAATGTAGCAATCCAGGTGATGATTCACTTTATGGGATTGAGCTGTAATATTAATATTATTCAATATTGGTAATCAGTCAATCGAATTGACACCAGAAAGCAGGAGCCAATCATCTGCTATGGGCAATACAGGCAGTGTTTCTTTCAATCAATGTAGGCCATGAGGCCCACACTTCGTATTAACTTATTAAAAGAGTAGTAGACTTATTTAATACAGCAAAGTTCTGTAACCAATAACACATCAATCATCTTCCGACTGCTATAATGAGATGAAAGGGGAAACCTGGTTGGATCACAGCACTTTGTACATTACCACCGCTCTATGCTCTGCTTTACTAAATATGCATGCAGACATTCATGGGGATTCAATAAAAACTTGCAAACCTGAGATAGATGACTGAATTGCAAGTACAGGGATTTAGTAATGATTTAAAAAATTGAATTGATCAATAATGACTTCTGAGAAGGGTGCATGGTCATTACCCCTTAGCTGACAGCTTAAAGTGGAAGTAAAGCCAAAACACATTAACAATGAAATATATATGAGTGAAGTGCTTTACCTGCCATTAAATTAAAAATTTTATTCAGCTAGTTTTACAATCAAGACACCCATACGGCACACCAGGATCTGACCTCACTATTTCTCTAGAACAGTTTAAGCAATACAGCTTGGTCAAGGACTTCCCCAGCCTGTGATTGGATGGTGGAGTGCCAACACTTTGATGAGGTAAAATCTGTGCTTTCTCCTCCTGTCAATCAGCTCACTGCGCATTGTGCAATAAAGTAAAGCTTGATTGACCTACAGAGCTGCCCCTTCCTCTCCCAGTCTACATCATGTTGTACTGTGAACTGTAAACAAAAGATAGACTGCTGTAATATTAAAGGATGTTTTAAATGATTTTAGAACATATTGTGTCTGCCCCCTACCCGAGTATGGATGGATAACTGTTTCAGCAAACAAATGACTGTCTGTGGGGCATCAGGCATTACAAAATGAGGCGAAATATAATTTGCAGAATCAACTACAATATAAAGCTTACATATCAGTCTTAGAGGTTTATGTACCAAAGGGCATAAAAACACATCAAATGACAACTGTTACTGTGCACAGAAGAATACCGGTTCTCTTTACACACAATGGTTTAATGGTGCATTTAATATACTGTACAGGTCTGGCAGATTACAATTCCAGTCCATGGAAGTAGCCAGACTGCAAGGTGTTGAGAAGACTAATGCGTTTTCCACTAAGCATAACCTCTGCACAGTCTGGCAAACGCTGCTCTTGGAAGAATGTGAAGTATGATTTTTAAAGAAAATACTTAAAAATGAATTTATTTTCCAGCCCAAAACTGGCGCCTCCTACCACCATAGGAAACAAGAGAAAAGCTACACACTCTTTTACAGTGTAACACCCCTGCCTAAAAGTTATTGGTCTTGATTCATCAAGCTACATTCTTACCCTCTCTCCTCCCAAACCATGGAGTTCTACATTAGGGCATGCTCATTAGCACTTAAAGTGGCCTGGTGCTTGATGGATGCAGAGCAAAGCAACATGCTCACTTTAATGCCCCCCCCCCCCCCCCCCCCCCACGCACCCCCCACCAA